AAATCTTATTGATTGTTATTTGATTTTACAGTTAATTTAATTAAACTTTACATTTTAACGATCCAATACTGGAAGTTATTATCAGATCTTTCACAAATTCTGATGAAAGTTCTCTTCGTGTATCGTCTGAATCGACCCAAAAGACACACGGTCCTCCACGGTGCCTCACAGTCCTGATCTGTGTTAGAACTGATATCAAAAGCACTCGAGTGCTTTAAAAACGCAAACAGATTGGAGTTGACCGAGATAAATTACAAAGGTATAAAAATGGCTCATATTCTATCAGAAATATTAACAATTTTCTTAAACAAAAGAGTTCTGGAGAAAACAACCTGTAAAATGTCAGCAGTCAGTCCAGTGAGTCTGAATGGCTGATGATGAGGTGGTGGTGGTGGTGATGCGCGTCGAGTGGTTCGTGTTGGGCTTCGCTCTCCAAATCACATCTTAGCGCACTAAATAGTTCACTAGCACCCACAATAAGCCACTCCCACCATCGAGAGGTTCATCTAGTGAACTCGAGGAGCCGACCTCACGGTGCTCTGTGAGGCTGCAAGTGAACCATTCAGTGCACTAAGATGTGTTCTGAGCCGAGCGGTTGTGTCCTCATGTACGTCTGGCCTTCGGCCTCTTCGCCTGACGTTTGGCTTCATCCAGAGCAGCGCTGTCCCCGCTGGCCTGGGCCATGCTCCTCACTCCCTGGATACGGTTCACCAGCTGCAACAGGAGGGGGATCACCTGCAGAACAGGGCCGCAAAAGATCATAAACAAACGCTTTTTGGATTAACAGTCTCATACTTGAAATATTAAGAAACTCTCTGAAAGGAATTCTGTGATTTAAGTGAAAAAGTACCGATTATAAAACAGAAAAATCTTTCTTTTTGGTTGTTAATGCAGCGGTGTTTCCTACATTGTAGGCCTTTGTATGATGCAGCCGAACTCCAGTGAGGTTTATTCAAACTAAATACATCAGAAATGTAATGGAGCAAGAAAGGGTCTTTGAACGTATTGCCTGCAGCAGGTGGAGGTGAAGATGTACCTTCTCGTGGTTATACGCTGCTAACAGCAGCAGCAGAGTGAGGGGCAGAGCGATGTAGGAGCCCTGGGCAATATCCTGGTCAGGCACTTTACGCTGTGGGAAAGCACACGCATCAACACACAACCTGAGACGAGACAACGACAACAGAAACATATCTGCACAGTTTACCTCACTGTAGGTTCTTAGCGTTAAAAACTAAATCATATTCTCAAACAGAAAACACCATCATTGAAGTATTCTGTGGGTTAAACCGTGGGCTAGAAAGAAGCCTCTTACAGTGGGGTTGAAGGTGAGCGTGACGTGCTTGTGGTAGCCATTGGAGGTGAAGGTGACCTGAGGCAGAGTGAAGTCATACTGGGAGCGGGACAGCGTGGAGTACAGCATCAGCACATAGCTCTAGAGGAGGAAGAGAAAGGAGACTTCAGATGCATGCTCTGTACATTAAGGAGACTTCAGATGCATGCTCTGTACATTAAGGAGACTTCAGATGTATGCTCTGTACATTAAGGAGACTTCAGATGCATGCTCTGTACATTAAGGAGACTTCAGATGCATGCTCTGTACATTAAGGAGACTTCAGATGCATGCTCTGTACATTAAGGAGACTTCTAACCACCGAATAATGTAGACTAGACAATCTGACTTTTGGTTTTAGGACTGTGAGGAAAAGGTTTCAGTAGTTTGGCTTCACAAGGTTGTTTTTCAATGAGCAGAAATTGAAGCAGATACCTCTCCGTCTCTGTCCAGAGGAGGGAAGTTGAAGAACAGGGACTGTCCCAGAGAGACGCTGTTGATTGGGTTGTCCATATTGTCACTTTTGTAAAGCTTCACCTGAACAAAGAAAGGAGAGTAAAAAGTAGTAAAACTTCTACATCGTTAATTCTGTACGTCAGTTCCATAAAAAGGGCCGAAGTAGATCGTAGGGATAATAAAACCTACCGATAGTGTTGCGAGATGTTCGGGGGACGTGTGGACGTTTCCACTGAGGTCAAACTGATTGATTTGCCTGAAGGCGATGATATTGACCCCTTCAATGTCACTGCTGTCGACCTGAAGGGGAACACAGAGCTTAGTGTACAGATACAACCTGGGGCTCACTCCAACTGTGACCCGTGGATAAGGCTTTGTACAAGTCACTCGGTGTGATAACAACAGAGAATTAAGTGGAATTAAAGGCATTTGCAGCCGTGCCCGAGAGATTAGGAAGCCTGCACTTTTCAGACGAGCTAAAATGATGAACCCAGAGGTTTAACAGTGCAACGGGATTACCGCTGCTTTTGTTCTGCGTACAGAAAGGACCCATGTGATGAGGCTGCTGATAAGTTATAATCACAGGGTTCCCACCGTTATTTGAACAACTCAACTATAAAAGCTTTCCATACCCTCCGATCTAGCTTTCAGCTCCACGTGAGAAAGCAAAAACACTGTGACATTGAAATCGTTGTGTTACTGTTTGGAACGGAGGATTAAGAGACATGTTTAAGTAGCGGGTTAGGGTTAGTCCATTTAGTAGCTGTTCTGGAGCTTTTGATCATATCTCATGAAATTCATCAGAAAATGGAGATGCCCCGATGAACTTTGAAGCTCAACGTTTCAGAGGCTGACAGGTGAGTTTAATGTCTCTATTTTTCTGTTCCAGAGAGGATGTACAAAAGCAGGATGAATAGGGACACGGAACTCATTGTAATTGCTGTACAAAAGATTTCAAAGCAACTCATCACACAGTCTAAAGGAGAAACTAACTGATTAGTGCCAGGATCTCACGGTCGCTATAGATAATTGCACACCCTTCAAAGGCAATATAAAGGTGACACACTGACAGCACACAGCAAAGCAGAGAAGTGATTCAACTATCATCAGTTTTTTTATTTAATTGTATTTTGTGAAAACAGAACAGGTACTAAAAGCGGCTTTTCATTGTGTCATTTCATATTCACTTCAAACCACATAATCATTGAAAGTAGTAAATATATTCCGGATGAAAGTGTCAGCTAAATGAGTGCAGATGTGAAAGTGGCTGCTGAATACTGGGATTAATATGTACGGGAGTCAGTTTTGGTCACATTGTACCTTGAAGGTGACACCAGCCAGAGCGAAAGCCTTGAAATCTCCCTGGGTTCCCTCCACAGGACTGAGGACGAAACCTTCTTTACTGGCACTGATGTTGTACTGCCGGTCGCTGTGGAGCGGACCCACACTGAGGGACAGAGAGGAGCAGACAGGAGGCTTATTGT